CATTGTAGCAAATCGACAAGTATTGGCAACAGCGACTAGTTCAAAACAATAATTATGTGGCCCCTTTTGTGCGTTCGATGTGACCACCTCGACAGACTCGACAAATGAACCTGTTTTCAATAATTTATAGGGCACAGGGTTGACTACAGAAAATCCCTCTAGGCAGTGACCCAACTACAGACGGCGTTGGTCGATAATGATTCTCCCTAATTCTGAATAATAACAATTGTAGGTTGAAATTAGCCCCATATCAACAGTTTACCTCTCGCATTAGGGATAACTAAAGATGGTGAATGAGTGTTCGCCAAATGTTAGTTATTCCATACTTCTGCTCTCTGGTACAATAGACAGCATGTCTCCGTCAATTTATTCTGGAAAATATGCACTTGGTATTTTGTTCCATCTGACTATCAGAGGGTTTTCGTTGCTTCACCAAATGCAGTTTAGTGGAACGATCTGATTCTTCAGTTTTCCGCCAGCTCATGGCTGGGCAGAAAAAGTGGAATGAACGATCAAATGGTTTACGGTGTTCACTCAGACAGATCGACAGATCGTATGTAACGGTACTGTCCGTAAATCTGTCGAAACTAGATTTCTAATGGCTTTTGTGGTGCAGTGATCATTTGTGCAGGTACTTTGATCTCTATGGTGGCCAACTTGGATAATTTTGTTCAGCTAAATAAATATCAATTTTTTGGGTTAACCTTTGTCAGTACGTTATTTGGGAATGGCATCATTGGTTGTTCTGTGACCGGTCGAGACTACGAGGTAGCACAGCCAAATATTCATAATTGTTTCTGGGGCTGATTTTTTGACTGCCTTTCTTTAACAGAAGGCTTTCTTTGCTCTGCGGACAATCCATACACTCAGTTTGTTCTCGTTCCTTTTGTATCGCTCCTGCACGAATATGGTCAATCTAGTTGCAATGTACGGCCAAGCTTCCATCCAATTAAAAATTTAATATAACTGGTTTTTCTTCTTCTTGTCGTCCTATTCAATGCACAACGCGCGTGGTACGATCCCACCTGGCGCGGTTACACTCTTTCCGTGTGACCGCTTACTACTTTCATCCGCACATGTACCATTCGGTTTGAGCTAGGTTTGTTTGGGTCTAATGGAAGAGGTCAATGATAAGATGTTCAAGAGGAAGCTCGACAGCGTCCTGCGAACAATGTGGTATGCAGATCTATCATGAATGAGATCTTCGAGTCTGTGGTGATGAGGCTCATACGGGAAATTACCCTCTGCCTCTAATTGAAGAACATTGAACATTGAACATAATGATATTGGTATTTCAATTATTCCCGGACTATGTCATACACCTATCCAGACGCACTTTTCTTTGCCTCTTCTTCGGTTGTCCGTGGCTACGCATAAAGCTGTGGGTTTTGTCAAACAGCCGAACACATTCCGTAAACAAACTGTCACATTGCCCAACAGATAATGACGAATTAGGCACGGTTTGGTGATTCGACCTCCGTTTTGTTGTGATCGAGGTGATCGCGTTCGTCCTTCTATGGTTTCACGATTGTGATAGAAAACAGCGAAGATGTGAATGAGTTTGCGTAGACCGCTTAAGAAGGCAAACAAGGCAAAGAGACATGAAGCAAAACACTTTTGTTGATCAGATAGATCCAAATGCACCGGTGACTATTAGGATAGATAAGTCAGTATTCCGGGAGTTCAACTATACTAGCTTTGTCATGATTATTATTACTATTAATAATACTCTTATTATTATTACTGTTATCGTTATCGTCATTATCACATTCGGTTTAACTGATGTTTGGATAGCTTACTTGACACCCTTGTCCCGGATTTTTTCATATTGCGATACCCAGTTGTCAGTTCGTTGTTTAAATCATGCTTGTCTGATATTATTTCCTGGAACTTAATTCAGAATCAGTTATCTTCCTATATTTCAAGTGGTTAACGGAGTGTGGGACTGTATTCTCTCAAGATGACCCATATCATGGGAACAGGTTATCTTCAAATCAAGTCTTCTGTTTATTTGTTGGAAACGGAGTAGTTACTTAGTATATATATATATATATCTTTGCGTATGACTCTTAATCGTTTTAACAGAGCTGACACAGCTTGTGCGCAGATTCCAGTAAAAGATATAACACTGAGATATGAAAATTCGTGGATGAGATCTTTTTTGATGTCAGACGGAGTGCTGTCTATCCAAAGTAAATTGGGGAAAAGCACACGTTGAAAGTCTACTCTTGGTTCGGTACGCAAAAACTAGAAACCTTTTGGGCGGGTGGGGTAAATAAATGACACGATAACATACAGGAAGCAACGAGACATCTTTTGGTAACTTGTTTGGGGCAGTTATCAATTGTGGATTACATATGCGCAGTTTATAGAGAATACTACATTGAGTAAAAAATTACTTATATTATTACCGTTTCTACGCCGAAACCCAATCTGCGAGTTTTCGGATTTAGATTTGAAGACCATAGCCGGTTGACCTTCAGTAACGTGCTCCAAAATCTAAATGAAATGTATACTTGTATTGCATCGACAGTAAGAATTCGTAATTAACAGGGTTTTTGAACCATGCAGTTCGGTAGGTCTCACTCTATACACAATGTGGTAGTAAAATGAATATTATACAGACCTTGATATCTGTTGGTTAGTACGGACAAAGTAAGATATAGGGTTACGGGCAGTGACTTCAGATTATCATTATTTTAATGCTAGTACAGAGTTTCAGTGTTTGCAAGAATAGTGTCCTTTGAAAGTGGACCACACGATCCACAGTGCATCTTAGCCAGCTGAACGAAATCCTAAAAGCTTACTGCTGCGAGGCTGATAGCTGGGCATTTTGGACGGCTATGGACTGTGTGGTATTTCGTGAGACTTCAGTTTATTCAAATATCTGATAACCGTTTTTAGTTAGTCGTGTTAAGTAGTTGTGCTATTTTCCCTCATTGTGTACCTTATCCCTCTTAAAAATTATTTTCAGGTAATTGCTGCAGAAGGCGAGGAAAAATCATCTTTTGCATTGAAGCAAGCTGCCGATGTGATTCGAAGTTCCCCGTTTGCGTTACAACTCCGTTATTTGCAAACTTTGAGCGCCATCTCCGCGGAGAAAAATTCCACTATAATATTCCCATTGCCCATTGATATGCTTGTCAATCTCGTTCGTCGCTGATCTCCCCCATTCGGACCCCAGCCACCGACTTTTGTCCAGCACATACAATCGACTGGGACAGAACGGAATCGGGAAAAGCGAATCTGAACTCGATCAGAACATTTCGTCACAGATACGATATCAATTAGGCGATTCTATCGTGAAAACCGATACAAACACACACGCACACACACACGTTCATTGATGAAAGATGGAATAAGCTGGCTAATTATTCGATGCACGGATCAATCAGTCCGACATCCCCTCCCCACAAGGGGTCCTCATTATTCACTGCACTTTAACAATCATTTGTTCATATCCCAACGCCACCTGACAGCGCGTCTTCTCTTTATTCTTCCAAACCATTTAATTCTGCATTAATCGGACATATATTGTAACCGGATTATGTTTTACTGATAACTGAATAAATCACAACAGATACATTGAACGCAAACTACTTTTGATTACAGAATTATGAGACAATGACTCACACATACAATGCACAACAATGTGTCAGACCAATTACACCTTTTTGCTACCGGAAAACCAACACCAAACCAGCACCATGAGGTTTTTCCACCAAGTTTAAACCAATCTGTCTTGCTCATTCTATAGACCAGGTGACAAGAGACTGGATCATCCAGACCAAAGGACTAGCACCGGAACCAGTTCGTCATGAGGTTTATAGCCTTTTTTGAAACAAATGCATACTCGCACCCACCAACACACACACACACACACGCAAAGGCACACGAAGGCTCACGCTTACGGGGTGCATCTAAAACGACGGACCATCTGGATTTCTTCGGCTGGATACACCAGTTACTTTTATTGAATGACTCTCCTTACTGATGTTTAAACATGTGTACGAACACACTTTATCTGCACGACCCCCCCTCTCTAATGCAATCCACTGAATGCATCCACACCTAATCATCACCTTACCGTTCTTGTACATCGTTTTCTCCCTAGCCCATTTGTGGTCCCCTTGTGTGACAATCCTTTAGTTGCTTTTCTGTGGGGAACACGGCGGATTTGACGTTTTGCGATTCGGTCAACTTTGCCGTAAGCACTAACTAATGCCTGGTTTTTCTGGGTTGATACATCCGAACCAGACGACAGCCAATTACCGGAAACACCCTCTACACATTCAAATCGATTCCTCTCCCCGCCTGTTCCGCCTTTGGGCCTCGATATTCGGCCACCGTGGGCGGGGAGTTCTCGTGACTTCCCTTTGTAAAAGACCGCTTCATTGTATCATGCGGTCGGCGAAAATTGGTGATGATCTATTGAATGGGTCAAAAAGAAACATGCTGTTTACAGTTCGATATTCCTTTTGGCCTATTTTTTCCTAACTGGAGGTAAACGTTCGTTTATTTTATTCCAAATGAATGGTCAGAATAGTCAAAAGTCATCGAAATGACTTATAGAAAATAAAATATTTTTAGGGTAAATAGATTATTTGTCGACAAGAAACAAATAATTCATTTTAACTAACTCCATGTCACACTAATGTTGAGTAGCTGAATTATGCTTTGTCTGCATCAGTGATTTACAGCACAAAAATGTAATCTACAAACAGGATTTATGGGTGGTAACATACAGCAAAAAATGAAACAAAATAGTACCATGGCAACGGTTGGATGGACAACAGTTTTTTGTTGGCAGGGGAGTTGTCCTCCAGTAGTATTATAGTTGGAGCTCTACAAATGACGCTGTACTTATTGTTGTGGTCAGTCTGATATTTGTTCAGATATCTGTTGTCTCGTAATCGATGATTTGGACGCCTTTTGGACGGGACAAATTGATTTTGATTTACAATGTATCACGTTACTACCATAATGACTCGTATCTTATTGGAGTAGCACTTCTGCTTTGATGGAGCGTTGCATCCCTTGAGGTATATTCCTCCTCCATTACTAAGGCATTTGTCCCAACTGTCTAGGGCACAGTCCAGAAAACCATTCCATAGGTAGGTTAAACTAGATGGAGGGTGGCCGAAGCCTAAACATTTTGAAGTTGGACTATATGTGAAAACATGTGTTACTTAGTGGGTGAGCACCATGAACTTCAACGGCTTTCAGGGGAAAAGTGTCCAAGTAACGGAGGTAGATAGACGCCTGGTTTACATTTACCCACAGAACGGCAAACTAGACCCTTGGTAGCCACCAGTAACCATATAATTGCAATTTTAAAAATGCTAAAGATGTAACCTGAAGGAAAGAGAACACAAAGTGACTCACTAAACTACCGTGACAATTCAGATCGCTTTGAACCCAACTTTTACCCTCTCCAAGTAATCGGCCTTAATGAAAGAAAAACAGTTACACAGTGTACACGTTTTGAGAGATGCATAGCGGCAAGGCTGTGTAAATGATTCTTTGTTGGCTTTAGGCATATGGGTTCACACCTAGATGAAAATTCGGGAGTTATATCAGAATACACAGACAGTTGTTCTTTTACGGGAATTTTCAACGATCTCTTTGTTCAGTAGATTTTGTTGGGGTTTGTCGGAATACTGGTTCACCTAATGACTGACTCAAGCCAGTTGTTTACCAGAATGAAAACGATCAGTGGTTTACTTCATCTGATGTCATGTATATTTCACTAGCAGTCTTGATTTGATGGCAACATGTTTGTTTGCCCTAGTGTATCAACTCTATTAGGTTATGCTCACTGTTCAATTCCGTGCTCATTTTTTACTTTGCAGCTTGGGAATTCTGACCCGTTCCAATCCATGTGATCAGTGGGAAAGTGATCGATGAATATTTTGCATTCTTGAGTTAGGTGGCTCTTTGGACAAGCATTTTGTAATGTCAACATCCCCAAACCGGATGAAACAACCCGGGGATTTGGATATCACTGTGAAACCAAGGAATAGCGTATTCGAGAAGCGCATAAACCCGATATCTCAGATAATGAATTTCACCAGTGCTTCCATGTAAACTTAAGCGTAATAAAGGGAATCGCTCCAACAAGAGAACAAGATCGACCACATCGAAGCAAGACGTAGATTTCATTCCGTAGTGACTGAGGAATGCTGCAACTGAGTAATAGTGAGGGTGGTCCGGGAGGAATGGTCACAATTTTCGTGTACCACTGTTGAAAAAACGATAGTGAAGGTGTTATTAAACTCCCGACAAAGGAAGGCAGGTATTGGTTTGGCCAAGCGATTTGAATCGTCTTGCCTGTCCATTTGTCGATCGGCTAAATAGAATCACAAATGCCCGGTGGTTGACGAGCAACACAATAGGCAGAAGGGGGATATGTGTAACCAAGTTTCCAAAGGAAACCACTTCATCGGTCAAAAGAGAAATCATTCAACCAACCTGATGAATCGGGTGGAAATGACATACTAAGCCCCTTGTTGCAAACGGTTCCCGTACGTGCCACTCGTGATAGTGCTAAATTTGTAGCACTGATCAGGTAGGTTTTTGGTGACCGGCAATCTGGAAAAACATACCTACATACATGCATACATCCATCCATCCATACATACATACATACATATATACGCACTTTTCCAAGATGAACCTCAAAGACATCTCATGCGAGATCTATCCCAGACATTTTTGAGAACTCACTATGTAGTGTCTTCTCACATTTTTACAGTTTCTCAATTGGCAAGATCCAAAGTCGAAATTCATTGACTTTATTCAGCTCATATCCGAATGTGATCAAAAACTGTTTTACGCGCATAAAAAAAACAAGTTAAGTTTCCTATATGGCCATTGGTCTTCAGTGGCCCTGGTGCGGCATATATCGCAGGAAACGGTCAAATGCGTATTGATTGCCACCTTGGCTAACCCAATGCCAAGACGACTAAATCAAGTGAGCAAAAATAGAAAAAGGCACGCAATGTATTGTCAACTGAAATGAAATACATTTGTTTAACGTATGAGTCCTTGTCGTGAATACATTCTTGACATTTTCTACTGAGATTTGATTATCTTATAAATGCTGTGATAGCAACCGTCGTCGAAATCCATAAATCGTACTTTCATAAGAAATTCATTTGAATAATAGTACTAATAACACAGATGGATAGTACTATTGCATATATGTTGTATCTGTTGTAGAGTATTCCTGTATTCATTCACGTGAATAAAGCTCTAAACGTTCGGAGGAAGAGATCTGACGAAGATCACGATATTACACGAATTTCTTTTTTTCTTCCACTTTTATTGAATACACAACGATGCAACTTTTAAGAAGGGGTAAACGATTAATCAGAGGGCTGCCGTATAACGCACAGAATGGGGAAATTAATACCTGTACACGTTCAAACAAATTTTTTAATGGGACATGTTGTGAAAGTATGCCATCACCGAGAGTTGGTCAAAGGAAAACAACACTGGTCAATTTATTACATCAATTGATCCATCGATACCTTCATAACTATATTTTGGACATACACTTTTACTGGAAACTAGAAACCCGTCTTGAACTGCAGTGGTAAAATCACCAGGAGCCTTTGCAACTGGAAGTCTATAAAGCGCTTTTTAATGAAGTGAAGCCGTATTTGCAGGTTATTTACTTCCCACTTGTACTTGTATTGATTCCACCTTGGTTTTGTTTGTTTCACACGAGATTCAAGTCGTTCGTTGTCAGAAAATTATAGGAAACGATATCTGTGGTAGCAAAGTTGTCAAATTAGCCAATTCCGGTCAGTTGACGCCTCGAGTGGTACACCTCATGCATTACTGATATTTCTTAATGGAGATTATTGGAAGAAAACTAGTTTAGCTTGTCTAACTGTTGCAAATATGGAACACACTTGACTAGGGGCATGACAACGCGCGGATAAGACAAATGCTCGATTTTGAGAGTGCATAACTGCTTCTCCAAAACATGGTGTTTTACAGTGTTTTATACAAACAGAAGTCGTTGTTGATCGCCTGAACAAAGGACTGCAGAATACACTCTCAGAAACCTCATGGAACTCTCGACATTTGTCTATTCATTTGTTGTCAACGGAATGTATTACGTAACTTGAAACGACCTTCAAGCGTCGTACCCAC